ACTCCGTCTCAAAAAAAAAAAAAAAAAAAAAAGGAGAGTCCATCCTCTTAAGGTCACCTCGCTTCCTAAGGTACCAATTGCTAGCCCTTGGGTAGGGTTTGCTGTCAGTCTTTTTTGTGATTTGCACCTGGCTGTGAAGTTCTGCTGCTGCTGATTTAAATACAGATGCATCATGCTTCAGCATCACAGTGTTTCCTCAAACATCACCTGATCTTCCCGATGACCCTGCTGCTCTTTCTAATTTGTAGATGAAGAATCTAAAGCTCAGAGAAGGTAAGTGGCTTGCCCAAGGACACACAGCTTATGGATCTGGGTCTCAAACCTAATTCTATAAAACCCTCAAACTAGTCCCTGGAATTAGGTCTGGCCCATACTCCTCTCTTGAGGGTGGAGCTCCAAGGTGTGAATGCTCAAATTTCCAAAGAGTGTGGTGATGGGGGTCGGGGGGTAAGGGTAGTGTGGGGTGAGGTGTCAAGAATATCATCACTAAGCCTGAACCAATTTTTATCCTCACATATTAGGAACGCAGATCAAATGCACTGCTGACAGAGTAATCAGTGCAAAGCGAAAAGAACAAATGTTAAGAAAAATCTCAAATCGAAACACAGAAAAAGAAATATTGAACCAAGTAATGAAGATTCTGCATGCAGCAGAATGGCCTTGGCATCCCTTGTCTCCAGGGGCCAGCCTGGGCCCCAGACTCACATGAGCTCAGGCCGGAAGCGGTGGATGATGGCACACAGAGCCAAGCCGCTGCGCCAGGATGTGGTCAGGTCGGTGACGTTGACATGCTGGTAGCCCTCTGTCTGCTGCTGGCACCAGGTTAGGAGCTTGCTGGGCCGGATATCTGACTCTGCAAGAAGGAGAGCACAGGCAGTGAGGCTCTGCAGGAATCTCACACAGTCTGCCCTGGCGATCCCCTCTCATTGCCACCATGGCTAGGGACCAGGAGGAGCAGCCCCAAGGCAAGGGGGCCATTGGCATGGGTGCAGCTCCCTGAGGACTGCTGCTTGGGGGCCTGGTCAAGAGTGTGGCGGGAGGGGAGGGGAAGCATGTTTTCTTCCAGCAGAGTCCCTAAGACCTACTATGTTTAGGCCCTGCCAACAACATGCTCATCTAGTGGGGAAGACAGTCACAGAGGGGGTGACGATGACACAGTGCTGCAATGGAGGGAGAAACGGGTGCTGTGGGAGCACATTAGCAGGTTTGCCTGAGTCTGCTCTGGGAGAGGAATTCTCCAGAGAAAAGCATAATGGGGAGGTACATTTGAGCTTGTTCTTTAAGAGCATCTAGGAACTTATCAGATGGAAGAAGTCATTCCAGGAAAACAGAAAGGACTGTGCGGTGGCAAAGAATCTAGAAAAACTTGCTATGTTTGTGTAACAGTGAAATGGCTGATTATAGTAAGTGGTTTATTACAGCAGTGGGGCACGTCGCGGTGCATGGAGGGGAAGAAGGAGTACAGCTGAGTTTGCCTAAGGAGGGAGAGGAGGCAAAGTCTGGACAGGCACAGGTAGCCAAAGAGGTCTCTAAGCAGGAGAGCATCCTGAGCCGAGTTGGGTGCTGGGAATTCCTCATTTAACCATCCCATCTCCCTGTGTTGAGCACTGGCCCTGTGTCCAGCGCACTGCTAGGCCCAGGATGACCAGAAAAAGGGTGAAGTGCATGAACCTCATTTCTACTTAAGGGGACAAGGCCCCCATGCTGGAAACAAGAGGAAAATAAGAACAAGTCCCAGTGAAATAATCCCCCAGTTCATGTTTACTGTGCGAAGCTCTCGACACATACTATCTCCTTTCATCCTCACAATGATGCTCTGGGCAGGGGTTCTCTTGGTCTTACAGAGGAGGAAACTGGAGTACAAAGAGGAGAGGTGCCTGCCCATGGTCTCACAGATAAAGGGGCAGAGCCAGGCTGGTTGCAGAGCCTGTGTCACCATAGCCACTGAGCAGGCCTCCTCCCCTCAAAGCCCTTCCCAGCCACCCACCAGGGTCCCAGGAGGGCCACTTACCCCTCCTGGAGAGGTTGACAGATCTCCTCACTGAGCCCAGTCTCTCGAGAGGGTAGTGCTCCAGCTCCTTGGTGATGTACAAATGCTTCACCTATGAGCAAGAGAGACAACATGCTTGCCCACCAGTTTTCCCCCAAATCCTAGTCTCAGGGCCCCTAAACTCGACCTACCCCCAATTCAGTGCCTGCCACCATTTTCCTCTATTGCTAGGAGGCATGACCTTCGGCCAGGGAACCCAGGCAACTTGAATCATAGAGCAATGGGCCTCAATCTCCACCCAGATGCAGGCAAACTAAGTGGGAATGTGTGTAGCTAATTTGTGTGTATGTAATTAGCTAATTTTAAAAATTCACACAATTTTCTGTTCTATTGACCAAAGAGGTTGAGAGTTTGGTGGCTTTAAATCAGTGGAAGAAGAAAGTGACCCTAGGACCATGCGTGGTATGCAGAGAGCATGTTTGGCCAAGTAAATTATTTGAGACAGGTAAGATCAGCAATGCATATGCACAGTGACAATATATGTAAATACATGCACATATACATATATATATATCTCCCCCGATATGTGTTCTAGTTCTGTCCTGTGGGTTAGAAAGAATGCTGACTCTAGTGGGGAGAAGAACTGGTCCCACCATTAGGCCAGCAGGCCTTGGTGGCCTTAGTCCCAGGAATGGACCAAAATTTAAGGTGACCCCTCCCCACCGCCTCTTCCCACTGTTCAGTGCACAGTGACTCAGACAGGGCCCCAGGGATGCACTTGCCTGATGGGGCCTAACACAGTGGGAGTTGAGGTTTGGGTACCGCGTCCCTGGGTCCAACGTGTACTGCTCAAAGTTCTTGTTGATGTTCTCTGGGGTTGTCTGAGGTAACAGCCGGTAGAGACTTTCCCTGGAGGGAGGCGGAGCCTGGAGGTCAGGGATCACTTTTGCCACCCCAGGCCTTGTCCCCACCCTCCCCTACTTCCCCCCTTCTCTGGTTGAAGGGCTTCCTGGACATGTTTGTCTAACCCTTCCCTGAAATACCTGACACTCCTGGTTCTTGAGATCTGCAAAGTGGGGAGAAGGTCAAAGGAGCCGAGAGGAAAGGGGCACCTGGGTGACAGGGATGTTGGACTCCTCCACCCAGGCAGAGGGGAGGGACGCAGGGCTGGCAGCATGGTGGCCTGTGGTTTTGCCATAACCATGCTCAGCCACGCTGCCTCCTGCGGCCTGCTCCCCATGACCACAGGCTTCCACACCCAAGACTGTCAGAGGCCTGCCTCCGCCTGGCAGCCCTGACCTCCCCCTGTCCACCAGCTGTCACAGCCACGTGGCCAGCAGCAGGGGTCTGGGAGGAAGCCCAGGATCTCAGCGGTGGGAGAGGCCTGGAAAGCCAGAGAATTCAACCCCCATCCAGGACAGGGGACTCAGTACTGCCCTGGAAGATTCCCTTAAATAAACCTCTCTGGCTCTTGGGTGAATGAGCAATGCTGGGGAGCGCCAGCTGCAGGGCCAACCCAGATGAAGATTTCTCTTTGTCATCCAGGGCCCAAGGTCGTGGCCCCCAGAGCAAGTCGCTGTAAGAGTCAGATCATGATGGAGAAAGCGTCCTGGGGATGCTGATGATCAGATCAGGCCACACATGGGAAGGCAGAATGGAGGAGGCAGAGGCTCCAGGTATATCCAGCAGTCACCTGAGGGGTGATCTTGCCCCCTTTCCTGCCTGAGTGGCCCTGCCCCCCGTTAGCAGCCCTGCTGTCAAAGCTCACCTTTCAGCCAGCAGCTCCAGCGGAGGGGTGCCCTGGTTCCAGTTCTTCACCATCCATGCCGTGTCAAAGGCTGCCAGGAAGCCGCGGGCACAGCCTGTACCCATGGGCCAAAATGGCTGCAAAAGAAAATGTGCAAAATTCCAGTTGATTCTGATAACTCCCAGTCTATGATCTCATTGTACCCAGCACACACTGATTACCAGGCCTCTGCAGGGCACTGAAGGGACAGAGAGGTGACAGGGCAGGAATGCTGCTACCTGTGAGGATTCACCACAAGGTCAAATAACTGTAGCAGAAAGTCAAACATAAAGGGTGCTATGATGCAGGCATCGCAAAACTGCTTTAGGGCTCAGAAAAGGCGAGACAAATTCCCACTCTGGGAGAGGGAGATGGAAATCAGAATAAGCTTCTTAAGAGTTGCATTAAGCTGATTTTAACAAATGGATGGGATTCTGATCCTGATCTACTTGGGAATGGTGTGGGCTACGGCATGGTGTGGGCTACGGCGTGGTGGTTGGAAAATGCTGGTGCCTGATGGAAAAACAGCCATCTGTTCTGGTTGTAACATGGAGCATGGGAGGAAGGCAGGGAGAAACCAAGCTCGGAAAGGAGTCTGGGCCAGCAGCAGGATGGGTACTGAGGGCTCAACCAAGGATCTTAGGTTCGAGTCCATGCACAATGGTTCCCAAGGACCAAGTCAACCAAGCTAAGTGCTGACTAATCTGCTCCATGAGCACCCAAAGCATGGTTTGGAATTTGACTCTTAACTTGGAATAAATACATAATCAGTGCTCATGCTAAAGAGAAAACTTTCTCCTTTCTGAAAACATTCATTTAATCTAAGGGTCCTTGCACCCTTGCAGATTTTCTGGGAAGAATTTTCAGCTGGGGAGCTGTGAATGGAAAAGAGACTTTGGGGCCCATACGCCTCTCCTGCACCCTGTGTGATCTCAAAGGCCACAAAGGGCCACCCACATGAGGAAGAAGTCTTGGCCCAGCTGAGGGTCCACACGCTCTGAGAAGGATGGCCCACATGGCCCAGACCGGGGCTGCCTGATTTTGTACTTCATCAAAGAAGTCAGTGCAAAAGAGCCAGGAGATAGAAGAGAAGGCTCTCCTAACTACACTGAGTCCGAACAGGCTCCTCTGAATGCAGCAACAGGACAGGCTCTGAGGCCGGGACAGGCTTGGCAGAGTCCTGCCAACTGGCTGAGAGCCTGTCCTCTCCCCACTGCACAACAGCAGATACTGCCTGCCAGAATACAAATGTGGGATCTGTCTTGTAGAGAAATGTGGGGGCTCCGAGCACAGGCGGTACCTCAAGCAAGCTGTCACCCACGAGGGCCACAAGCAGCTGGTGCGCCTGCCGCTCCCGCACCAGGGCCGCGTTCTCTGAGGCATACATGCAGGTAAAGTCAAACATGGCCACGTCAGGCTGCCCATAGTGGTTCATGGCAAAGTCTAAGGATGGCAGCTGGTAGTTGGTGGCAAAGTCTGCAGCTTCCCGGGCATAGGATAGCAGGTTGTCTTGGTTCACGTTCTCCGCACACAGCAGCATCTCCGTGTCGATGTAGTCCTGGGGAAGATGAAAACACAGTGAGGCAACCTCCCCCTCTAAAGGGTTAGCCTTCATACCCACCTCTTGGCAAAAGGACTTGGAATGGGTCTACACAGTGAGGCTAGTCAGAAAAGACATACAAAAACCAGGGCCAAGGGAATAAAGAGGAAATAAATCAGCCAGCTGTGAGGGTTAACACAGTTGTGATTAAGCATCAAATTGGGCTTTGAGCTTCCTGGCATCCAAGGCAAAAGGGAAATGTGATATGCCACAGAGCTTTCCTTATCACAAAGAAGGAAGCATAGAAATTCCTCAGGGGAGGCTATTTTTCCCTGGCATTAAATTCTAAAAGATCTATCTCACATAGGAATTGCAACAGGGCGCGTTGAGAGCTGGAATGAACAGTGCACTTGATAACGGTCTTGGAGCAAACAACGAGCACATTTCATAGGGCTGGTTCTCATGAGAACTTTCAGTACAATTAAGAGACAAAGGAACCGTCAGAAAGTGTGATTTTATAATAAATTCAGCTAAGTTAATGTGATCCAAATATGCCATGTTTAGTGGTCAAACAAGACCAGAAGAAGAAAATGGGTAACCTCTCCCACTTTTCGACATCAGTGACCCCTTCACTTGATGGGCTGAGGGCTCCTCAGAGCTTAGCTTTTTTTTTTTTTTTTTGAGACAGTTTCACTTTTGTCTCCCAGGCTAGAGTGCAATGGCGTGATCTCGGCTCACTGCAACCTGCAACCTCCGTCTCCCAGGTTCAAGCGATTCGCCTGCCTCAGCCTCCCCACTAGCTTGCTTTTGGTGCTAATTGTTATGCTTCTCTCATGGGGAGTGCAGAACTCTGAGCTGCAAGGACTGGAATATCCATCCTGGAGGGACACTGGCAGTGAATCACAGGATGTCAGGATTGAAGAGAGCTGACAAGCTTAGTGTATCCCCAGAGTCCAAGCTGCTCACCGTGTGGCTAAAGAAACTAAAAGACCACCTTTCTCAAAGGTGACACAAAAAGTACAGACACCTGGAATGGGAGGGGACCAGTGTGTAACATGAACACAGGCTTTGGGGTCAGTGAGAGCAACAGGTCAAAGTCCACCTCTGCTGTTTACCAACTAAATCTGGGCCAGTTATTTAACTTGTCAGAGTCTCTGCTCTCTCATCTGTAAAAAGGGAATATCAAAACCTACTTCACAGAGCTGCGTGAGAAGACGGAATGAGTGTACACACGAAATCCCTAGCCCCATGTGGGAAGTGACTGACAAATAGGAATTCCTGTACCCTGTAATTCATGTTGGCTCCATATATGGCTTACGATGAAGTATGTCCTGGACCCAGCCAAGGCACCCTCAATCACAAAGGTCCTCACAGTCACAGAGTACCGCGTCTACAGCCAGACTGACCACTGCCTCAATTTTCTGAGTAGCCATGATTTCAAATAGCCTGTTCTAGAAACTCATATTTCCCCCATCCAAACCAAACCCTCCAAATTGCAGCCAGCACTGGTCCAAGAGCTCTCTGTCAGGCCCCAGTGTCCAGGATGGAATTCCTGTTATTTGATTTCTTTTCTGATCCCTGTTTCTGTGGCCACATGATCACTTCTCTCTCCGTAGACGTGGAGGTGAGATGGGGGAGGACAGAAGGGAGACGTCTCAAATACCCTCCCTCAAAACATGCCCCAAGCATCCCTAAGATGGAGTGGGTGACATTACACAATGAAGACAGTGCCCAGCATGGACTCCTCATGCAGGAGAGTGGGGACTCAGCAAAGGGAAGACACTGGGCTAGAGCTGGCTGGAAGCCTAGTGGCCTAGGGCTGCTGTGGGGCCTCTTAGCGGCTGGAGGGTCCCAGATGAGTGAGGGGATGGAAGAAAGAGCAATACCATAGGGAGCAGATGAGGAAAAGGACAGGACAGAATCCCAGCCCACACATGTATGGGCCGGCAGAGGCAGGGGCCCAGGGAGGTTGTGGGATGGGACATCCTCCTTGTGGGAAGAGAAAGATGGACACAGCTGAGAGCCCAGAGGCACGACTGCTTGAAAAGAAACTGCTCTTCCGTCGGTAGCCATGGAAAGAAGCCCAGAGATCAGCTGGAATCAGTGGGGAAGCAGGAAAACCTCTTGTCCAGAGGTTAGTCATTCATTCAACAAACATTTACTCAGCACCTTCTGTGTGGCTATAGGAAGATGCGGATCCATGTAGGGAGAAGAAAACAGAAAACTTGCCATGCCTCCAGGGAGCAAGAGAAGAATGTAAATTTAAACAGCCCAGGGAAGATGGGTCGGGAAACTCGGCTGGACATCTGGAGGTTCAGGCTATAACTCTTGTTCCAGTCAGGTGTCCAGCCTGTGGCCTCCAATTTCTTTCCCATCTTGTACCTTACGCTCCTCAGCACCAGCCTCAGGAGCTGCTCCCAGAGGCCTCTGAGGGAGAACGAAAGGCCTTGATGAAGACAAGCATGGGCCTGGAGAGGCTTTGACAACTGCCAGGGAAGCAAGTTGCCATAAGCAACAGGTTGCTGCCTGGGCAAACACCCTGGGATGACCTGAGGGTGACCTTTACCATCCCAGGAGGCCAGGGTGCTCTGCAAAACACAAAACCTATCAAGCTTTGCCTGCCTGTCTAGCCCCTCCTCTGCAAAGGTGCCCACTACCCCTACACCCCTGCACCCCCCAGTTTCAGATGAAGGCGGCAACTTCAGGAGGCAGCTTCTGTGAGGCAGAGGGAAGAAGGGGACGCCGCCACTCCCAGACTGACAGCCAGCAGTGGGACACTGCGGAAACCCATCGCCCACCCATCTGCTGGCGTGCTCAGCCCACTTCACCAAGCCCACATTCACAGCCTCCGTCCACAGCTCAGGCTCTCAGCAAAGACCTGAGCTGAAGTGGAGAAGGCCTACGGGGCGGCTGGGTTACTAATACCACCCAGCCGGCTGCCAGCACACGCAGGAGAGAAGATGGGCGCATTCTTCTCTAACATGCAGCGATGAATGGCCACCATGCTGCCTGGGCTCCAGGCAGACACCCAGACAGCAGGCTGACCTTGGGCTGCATGATCCTTATCTTGAGGTGGCAGCAGCAGTAGTGACAGTGGCAGCAACAACAGGGGCTCTGGAAGGGTTGAACACCTGACCGAAGAAGCTTCCAGTCAGGGGCCACTACTCCATGTTTCTTCCTTCCAACCCTGCTCTGTGTTTAAGCATGAAGTCACAAAGCCACAAGGCAGAGGCCAGGACGCCAGCAGGACAAAAAAGCCAATGTGCAAACAAGGCTGAGAAGTTACAGAGGGAATCTACAAACCCACCCTCTGCCAGGCACTGTGCTAGCTTCTCTGTATATATCTCCTATTTGCTCCTTCCAAGAACCCTTTCAGGCAGAAACTATCATTCCTATTTTGTAAATAACACTGAGGTTCAGGAAGGATAAATAGTTTGCCCACAGTCTGGAGTTGGTACGTGGCAGTGTCAAGATGCAGACTGAGTCTTCTTTGACTGCATGAATAATGAAATTCCCCCACAAGGTGACAAGGGTCCACAGCGTGAAATTCACAAGTCAAAGGATGCCTATGTCTCATTACGACAAGGAGCCCCCATCTGCCTCCAAATGACATGTGACCTCCCAGAGAAGAGGCAAGGCTGGATGAGACTTGGGAAGGAAAAGACTCAGTCAATCCACATTAACACCTGGTAAAGGTCTCACAACGGCACACGCCCATGTGCAGAAAATTCTCTGTGCATATTGGCGTGGGCTGCTTTATCCACCACTCATGTAACACCAAGAGAAAGAAGGGTGTGAGCGGGTGGCACCTTCCCCACTCCTCCCCTCGCTCTGTTTCTGGCAGGACCACATCTGCTTTCACACCTGCCGAAGTCACCAGCCCAGGTCACAAAGTCGGGAAATCGCAGCCAAGAGGTACGTACGTTAATGATGACACCTTTGTCGAGCAGGCTCTGCTTCTTGGCTGTCATGACAAAATAGTGGGTGCAGTCCTTGTAGTAAACAATGTTCTCAAGATCTATGCCTGAAAAGAGAAGCATTCACAAGCTCAGCGTTACTTCCTCAGCACCAACTGTGTGCCAGGGACTGTACTTTGCCTCATTATTGGTCTCGTTATTTATCTGCAGAATATTCATGTTAGCCCAGTTTTTAAGGCATACAAGGCTGGCAAAGATAAAACAGAGTGTTAGAATCTACCCAAGTCCAAGCAGCTAGCTTCTATAGTTCCATAGAGGCATTATTCTTGTTAAAACTCACAATGTCTGCAGGGGTTGTGGGCCAGCATTTATAAGTTAGAGGCAGGTAATTGTGCAGAAAAGCCAAGTGCCGGCCATGGCCACATAAGCTCAGCAATGACATGGCTGGGATTTGAACCCCAGGCCATCTAGCTCCAAGTCCTATCCACTGTGCCCTCTGTGTGCCCATGGCTGCATAGAGCTGTGGGAATTCTCCAATGACCATGCCAAGGAATATTTCTACCATTTCCCTGCTTGGATGTGAAAACCCAAGGGCAGTGGTAGGAACAACTCAGGGTAGAAGGCTGGGCTATATCTTTTGGCACTTTCCACCAATCACAAGACACCTTACACACTAAGTTCCTGCATTTAAAACCACGCTGTGCAATGAGAGCTTAACTGCATTGTTCTCAAAGGGAGGTCCCTGGCCAACAGCATCAGCATCACCTGAGGACATACTAGCAACGCAAATTATCGGGGCTCTTCTCCAGACTCACTGAATCAGAAACCCTGGGGATAAGGCCAGCACTCTGTGCTTTAACAAGCTCTAGGTGATGCCAATTCATACTCAAGTGTGAGACTGACTGGCTTATTTGAAGGGAGATAAAGGAACAGCCACATGGCAACATAGCATTTACACAAGGCGTGCTGGGTAACTCTAGGAACACCTTTATTATAGTTAAATAGGATACAGGCATCAATGCAGAGGGCCCCCAGGAGAATCAGGAAGGTCACAACTGTCACTGTCTGAGGGCACTGTTGTGAAACAATGGCCGAAGGTGACAACCACAGCAAAGTTTAAAGGAAGTTCACTGAAACGTGGAAAAACCCACTCAATGTCCTGCTCTCATTTATATTGAGTGGCTTAAATAGTTACTTTCTTGGGTTTTAGGGGAAGGGAGGGTTGGAGGATTCTCAAATCATTCAAAAGGACACCATATGTTGGCAGGAAATATTCAAGCTTTTAATGAAATAATGCAATGGAGGTGAAACTCAGAGGGTCATGCAGTGGGCACACACCCTCGTGGCCAGTGAGAGGTACAATCTCGCTCAACAACTAATGCCATTCCTCGAAAATGATCTTAAATATCTGTAACAGTAAATAACTGGAAGGCCTACATCAGAGGTCAGCAAGTTTGTGTGTGTGTGTGTGACAGACCAGCTAGGAAATATTTCTGGCCGGTGGGCCCTATGGTCTCTTTCATGACCTCTCATGGTGGAAGCAGCCATCAACAGTCATGTAAAGAAATGTGTGGCTGGGTGACCATCAGCTTTTATGTATGGATGCTGAAATCTGATTTTTAAATCATCTTTATGTATCATAAAATATTTTTTGATTGTTTTCTTCAGCCTATATATATAACCATTCTTAGCTCGAAGGCAGTATAGAACCATGTGGCCAGCCATAGTTTGCTAATCCTTGGTTTCAATGCTTAGGCAGTGACAATACATCAATTTGATGAGATCCTCCACAGCCCCTAAAAGTGACCACCAGGAGGATGATGTTTGGAATGTGACGCTGAATGAGAAAAGCTGAATAGTGTGGACACCGTGATTTGAGCTGCAGTCACGTAACAAGCACGCATGCCGGTGGAAAATGACAGAAAAGGAGTAGGTGAGTCTGAAGACTATTCCTGTGTGAGGTGGTCAGATTGTGGATGATTTATTTTCTGTATAAAGATTTTATTTAACATTGTTGTTCCATTGCTTTCCAAGGAGAAATACGTGGGGTTTTTTTGTTTTTGGTTTTTGAGACAGTCTCACTCTGTCAACCAGGGTGGAGTGCAGTGGTGCAATTTCGGCTCACTGCAACCTCCGCCTCCTGGATTCAAGCGATTTTCCTGCCTCAGCCTCCTGGGTATGCTGGGACTACAGGTGTGTGCCACCACGCCCTGCTAATTTTTTGTATTTGTAGTACAGATGAGGTTTCACCATGTTAGCCAGGATGGTCCCGATCTCCTGGCCTCATGATCCGCCTGGCTTGGCCTCCCAAAGTGCTGGGATTACAGGCATGAGCCACCGCACCCGGCCGAAATAAATGTTTTTAATCAGGTTAAGAAGAAAGGAAAAATATCTGGAATTTGCTTAATTGGAGACAGGCAACTCATCCCCCTTTCCCCTCACCCTGTTTTTCTCTGCTGTCCCTATTGCCACCTGATGAGTCACTGGTTTATTTGTGTTTTGACTGTCTATTCTCTTAGAACATAAGCCCAAGAGGGAGGGATTGTGTTTTACTCACTGCTCGTTCTCAAGCCCTAGAACAACATCTGGCACATAGTAGGCATTCAATAAGTATTAGTTGAGTGAATGAATCAATACCTCCTATCCTCTAGGCCCATGGCCGGGTGACAACCGGTGTCAGTACAGCTTATGTTCCTGGGCATACCTGGATGTCCCTCTTGGGGAAGGGCAACTGCTGCATTGCACAAAAGCACCTGGGAACCTTCAGGAACCATCCATAGGTGACTGGGTCCCTCCTCAGCATTCCCTAAATATCCTGCTGACCTCAGGCGCAGTGCTGGCCACCTGCCTTAGGATGGTTTACACAGATATCCCTTACTGGACAGGGAGCCACTGTGGGAGGGATGGTGTCAACCTCCACTTTGTACTCCACAACACTGAGAATTGACACGTAATGAGCACTCAGCAAATGTCCACTATCTCCTTTCATGTACAACATCTAGAACATTTCCTCAAGAATCTCTCTTGTCCCAGAAGGAATCCTGTCTGTATTCACTGTCCTAGGGAAAATCGTTACTTCCACTGTATCAGAGTGAGTCCCTCCAGGCCCAAGAGCCCAGAAAGCCAGCATACGCCTCTGCACACCTTAGAAACTGCAAACTTTAGACCTTGACCAGGTTGGGAGAAAGGTGAAGGTCCCACCTGTTTCTTCTTTAAGGTCCTGAAAAAATTTCTGATTGAAGATGAAAGCCACGCCGCTAATCTCTTCCACCTTGGCCTCTGCTGTGCTGTTTCTGTTTATGAAGTTGGCGGTGATGGCAATTGCCAGCTTCCCACGGAATTCTTTTCTTCTGAACCCTGCATGAGGAGAAAGGAAAAAGTGTGTCTATCTTCTGGATTTGGTGTGAAAACTGAAAATGATTATTGGGAGAGCTGTTCCCAGATGCCTCCCAGGCCGGAGAAACCAGGATTCTGGATCTCTAGAGGACAGGAGCGGGCAGAAATGCTGAGGTTTGCTCCCAAGGCCTTTAAAAGTCCGTGAGATTTTGTCCTTTTCTAAAACCTATAGGACTTGGTTAGGCTTCAACAAACAGAAGGCCAAAGGGATCCTTCCCAACAGGCAGTCACAGGGCGCACCCTTTTAAGGATGTGTCAGGCATTGTTGCTAGATACACTCATGAGAGACCCGCACACACTTTGAATTTATAGCATTAAAACTACTCTGTTAGCATTTCTCATGGTGCCACCACCCCTGGCCCCCTTGAAAAGTAGATTACGCAGGACAGGGATTTTAACAAAGTTTCTTTGTATCTCCATTTTTGGGGGCTGTATTATGTCCCTCTCCAACACACACACACAAATTCATGTGTTGAAGTCCTAACCCCAGTACCTCAGTATGTGACTCTATTGGAAACAGCGTCATTACAGGTGTAATTAGCTAAGATGAGGTCATACTGGAGTAGGGTGGGACCCAGCTTACTCCAGTATGACTGGTGTCATTTGAAAAGAGGAAAATAGTGCACCAGTTCCCAGTAAGTGGCACTTAGTACATCTGCAATGCATATATAAATGAATAGATGGCATTCTAGCTCTCATTCGTTTTTTGTTTTGTTTTGCTTTGCTTTTCAGACAGGGTCTCACTCTGTTGCCCAGGCTGGAGAGCAGGGGTGCCAATCATGGCTGACCGCAGCCTCGACCTCCCAGGGTTAAGCGATCCTCTCACCTCAGCTGGCAAGTAGCTGGGACAATAGACATGTGTCACCATGACTGGCTTATTTTTTTTTAACTGTTTGTGGAAACAGGGTTTCATCATGTTGCCCAGCCTTAGTGCTCTAATTCTTGTTTTCAATGATTTACATTAAAATTGCTCTTGAATGGCAGTGCTATGGAGGATCATAGCAGCTGGTGCAGGGTAAATGCCCCAGATAGCAATAACTGAAGCATACCTTTAGAATGACCCTGTATGGCTGATGCACCTGAATGTGTGTTCTGAGCTGGGGAATCCAGGAGTGGCCAACCCCAAAACTTGTTCCTTCTCTATGAGAGACATTTGAGCTCCTGGCCCATCCTGTAGAACATGGACCATACAGGGGGATCCAGGCCCTGAGTTCTGGGTTGGATGAAGGTTGCCAGGTGGAGGTTAAGAGGAGGGTGTTAAGTGAAAATGCTGTATAAACTGCCCACTGTTTACAACCAGTTGTGGTTTTCCTGCCCGGGCTGCCACCACTGGGCTGTGAGGTTGTGCTGTCCAGCCCGCCGCCATTGGACCATTTCTGTAGGGAAGCCGGGTCACCTGTCCAGCCCACCGCCACTGGACTCTCTCCCTTGTGAATCCCTAATAAAACCCCATGTCTGTTTTGCTGGCTCTTGGTCTCTTCTTTGGCCTCTTGAACTTGGTACTTTCCCTATTGAGGTTAATGGGGGTTCGACATAACAGATGGTCACTTTTCAACAGTGTGTCTCCCTCCTAGTCCCCCATCTTGCTGTCATCTGACCTTTCCTGAGGGCCCCTGCCCCAGGCATGCTGTGTACTTGGTGTAACGCCAGGTGCCTGTCACACAGGTGCAGACCTCCAGATATAACCTTTCCTTAGCCACCTTTGGGAATACCCTGCACACCTGCTCGCCATATACTCCAGCCTCACATTGATTCTCAACTATCTGTCAAAAATCCCTTTTAGTGACAACCTTGGGTTTCTTTCTTTTTCTTTCTTTCTTTCTTTTTTTTTTTCTTTTGAGATGGAGTCTTGCTCTGTCGCCTGGGCTGGAGTGCAGTGGTGTGATCTCGGCTCACTGCAACCTCTGCCTCCTGGGTTCAAGCGATTCTCCTGCCTCAGCCTCCCGAGTAGCTGTGATTATAGGCGTGAGCCACCGTGCCCGGCTAATTTTTTGTATTTTAGTAGAGACAGGGTTTCACTGTGTTAGCCAGGATGGTCTTGATCTCCTGACCTCGTGATCCACCCACCTCAGCCTCCCAAAGTGCTGGGATTACAGGCGTGAGCCACCGCGCCTGGCCAACAACCTTGGGTTTCTATTCAATAGCCCTCCTTTAAGTTGTCTTTCATTAGACCTTTGTCAAAAGGGTCAGCAATGGCTATTATTCTCATCTAGCATTTCTTAGCTGGGGGTGATTTTGTTCCCAGAAGCCACTTGGCGATGTGTGGAGACATATTTGGTTGTCGCACCTAGGGGTGCTACCAGTGTCTGGGGGACCAGAGGCCAGGGATGCTGCTAAACACCCTGCAATGCACAGGGCAGTCTCTGTGACGAAGAATGGTGTGGTCCCAAATGTCTGCAGTATTGACACTGAGAAGCCCTGCTCTAGTTTACCTGTTTGGCCCTGAGTGGCTCAAATGGCTCCATCAATTTCCACCCTTCTTTCCATGTTCATGAAATGCCCAACTATACTCAAGCTGACAATGGGTCCTGGATTCTCAAATATTCTAACTTACACTGTCATCAAATGTGCAAATTCCAACAGTACTACACCCAAGTCGGCAGTTTGCCTGTCAGGTATTGATGACCGATGGTTGGGGAGGTGGATATGGAAGGTGAAAGGGGGATGGTAAACAGCCCCGGTTATGTGGCAGATGGGAAGGTCCTGGGCCAGGCGGCCCATAAATCCTGAGTTTTCTAAGATCAGCCCTGTTCCAGGGAGCATGTCCCATCCTCAGAGTGATGTGTCCTCTCAGTCAGGCATCTGCAGCCTGTGGCTCTTGAGGTGGCAGGCTCAAAAAGCAGAACTGCCCTAATCTAAGAGATGCCATCTGGGGCCACATTGTTTACAACCCGTGGTCTCAATTTAGCATGGTTAGTATCAATGAGTACAGCCTGTGGGTAGATCAGTCTTGGCATTAGGGTGGAGGGGGTGGAAGCATTTCCTGGCAATGGGGTTTCTCTCAAACCTGACTGGATCTTACCCCAAGAAAGATACTATGCTTCAGCTTTAGAACTCAGAGAAGTGTGGCCTTTGTACCTTGACAGTTTGGCAAGACATACCTGCCTGCCCAGCAGTGGGTGTACTTAAAAGTTACAAAAAGAAGTGAGTTCCTCCTTCAAGTATAAATATTACATTTGAAAGTAAGCAAATACCATCAATAGTATTATAAAAATGTTTATCTTAGCTGAAGTAAGTATGAAAGTGCTTGGCACCACGGCTCACCCTCCAGGACGTGCTCAATAAGGGATGTTCATTTTCTCCCCCATGGCACTTTATCTTTATGAAGCATTTTCACACACTAGTCCTTTCCCAGCCTGCATAACAACACTTTGAAAGGGTTCTGTGATCCACATCTTACAGGTGAGAAAACTGAGATTCAGACGGAATGAGATGGCTGTCCCCTGAACTGCCCACCCCACAGGTGGATGGGCTGCTCTACCTCGAGAGAGACAGGACAGTCTGCGCTCCTATCAGGACCTCCATCCAGCTCTGGCATCTGCATCTTGCCCACTTTCTCCAACTCTTCCCCAATGTACCCTCTCCCATTCCCATCCCCCCATTCCCACAAGAAGAGTCTTCACCTTCCAGGGTGTTCCTGCGGCCATCGGCACCAATGATGACGTCAAACTCAAACTCCGACAGAGAATGGTCTGCAGGGAGAAATTCTGCCCGCCAGCCAATTTCTACCAGGACAGAGAAATGAGATGAGTTGGCAGAGAGAGGTGGGAAGAGAGTGATTATAACCCCCGTGTGGTGGCTCTGAGAAATGGACAGTGCAGCCAGGTCTATGCATCCCAGAGAGAGCCTCCAGGGGAAAGGCTAGAGCAGTCCAGATTCACTCTCTAATCTGGTGTCCTCTGACCTGAGTGTCAGTTCAATCCAGGATGAAGTAAACCAGCAACACCAACTCCATGCCTGGTTTTGCTGGCCTCTGCTAGGAGTCTGTCCTCAGTGCTCCATAAACTACTCTCATTTGCACCTTATTTTTCTCAACAGAGTCCACCATCTTCTCTTCACATTCTCCCACATTCTTCAGTGATTCTCATTGCTAAAGAGACCCAAAAGGATGTGTAGGGTGTAAGGAAACCAGTTTTAATTTCTATTGCATGCTCAAAATGTTCTATTGTACACTACACTGTCTTTTATTTTTTAAAAAATTCAGGTGAAGCCTGGATAATTAAGATTTAATGTCCACCAGAGGTCTGGAAAAGGTTAAGATTACAGTCTCTGAATGCCAAATGGTGAATGCTGTCCTGCTCCAAAAGCTAACTAAAGCCTCCCCTAAATTTTCAAATAATCTGGGCAGAGAACAGGATAAAACAGAAATGTACCCTAAGCAGGGAACTACAAGGTCTCTGACACTAAGCTGGTCCCAAACTCAAAGCCCTTCCCAGGCAGTAGATGATTTTAATAAGTAAGATGCAGAGGCATCCGGAATAAACTCTCTGACCATGGTGTGTGTAAGGGATAAGAATTTAAACAAATATGCTAAAAGGAAAAAAGAGAAACATTAAGATATGCCTATATGGGTGAATATCATAGTTTATAAATGATATCTCAATATGGTTAAGAGTATTATATAAAATAACATCTTGAACCTTATTTCACAGTTGCTCTAGAAGCTTCACTTCACTGGATTTTAAAATGTGCCATGGGTATAACAAGTACAACCACATATCTATGTGTGAAACACACACACAGCTTGAAGAACACGTGAATGAACCTTACCAAACAACCAAATCTATGTCTTCTGTCCTACTTATTGATTAGATTTCCTTTGCCAAAGTAGCATCCCCTTGGGACAGGGTAACCAAATTATAGGTTTAATGGCTTAATCATAAATACCCTCGGAACCAAAGAGCAAACCTAAAGTCATAGCAATGGTAAAAAAAACGAAAACAAAAACCAAAAAACAAACAAACAAAACACAGTAAAATCCTCTTCAGTGGCGTTATGCCAACCAGCTCTCAACAAGAATAACTCTTACAGAAACACCCTCTGGAAGCAGCAAATGGGATTTCTGTTTTGTAGTATCTGCTTTCTAGGCAGAAAAGGAACATTATACTGTACTTTGATTTTCTTGATCTTCAGGAGGCTCTAGAACCTTCACGAACTCCACATTCACATGGATTTCAACTCCCAGCATCAGGGCCACCTTGAACAGGATGAGCTGTAGTTGGCGAATACCTGTCAGGCAGGAAGGAGAGAGGAACTGTCACAGCAATGCCTGAACACCACCTATATGCAGAATGCTACGTAATCACTGCTGCTCAGTGACCTTTGAGCACAGCAATATACCAGCAATGATCATTATTGAGCCGGATTATGCACCAAGAGCTCTACGTTTTCTCGTCTAACTCTTACAGCGGCCCTTTGGAATCGTTATTCTCATTCTGTAGATGAGAAACTGAGGCTTAACAAGGTTAAGTGACTTGCTCAAGGAGACACAGAGCAAAGCTGGAACGTGGACTCATGTCGGTCCAATTTCTAGACCCTGTTCTAGCTGCTAGATGATGCTGTAACAAGAGAGACTCTGTCTTTCCAGCCTCCTTCCCCAGCTGGGCTCTAGGTTTGATGAAGTGAAGATGGAAAGAGGAGTAGGCAAAGACAGAGTAAAGGGCCTCAGTGAAGTACTTGATCAGTGACTCATTAGATGGGGCCTATGCCTCAGCTCTTAGACATCCAGTGGTGAGGAGTGGGTAGGAAATTCTCCCCACAAAGCTGGGTCATGGTTCCCCATCTCTTACCCACATTTCAAAACTCCCGCAGTGAGTAGAATCTCATTTCTCTGTTTTGTCTCCTGCCATTCAGCACAAATGGGTATGCCTCCAAATACTTTTCTGCAGATTGAAAAGTTTTAAACTTTTTTTTGTTTGTTTGTTTTTTTGAGATGGAGTCTCACTCTGTTGCCCAGGCTGGAGTGCAGTGGTGCAGTCTCGGCTCACTGCAAGCTCCGCCTCCCGGGTTCATGCCATTCTCCTGCCTCAGCCTCCTGAGTAGCTAGGACCACAGGCACTCGCTACCATGCCCAGCTAATTTTTTGTAATTTTAGTATTGACAGGGTTTCACCATGTTAGCCAGATGGTCTCGATCTCCTGACCTTGTGATCTGCCCGCCTCGACCTCCCAAATTGCTGGGATTACAGGCGTGAGCCACCACACCCAACCAGAAGTTTGAAACTTTCTGTGGGCCCTTCTGTATTTGGTGGGCTTGACTCATTTAGCATTTATTGAGCATCTATACTGTGCCAGGTGCCATGCTAGGCACAGGAGATACAGAACACGCCTTCTAATGGAGGGAACATAGGTAAACAGAATGGGGCAAGATATGGTGGTTGGGGGAGGGTGGCAGTGGTAGAATAGGGCCTTAGTTGGGGTTCGGAAAGCCAAGAGAGGAGGGACTAAGAATATCAAATCCCACAGAGAGATGAAGGACTGTGAAGGTGACAAGAGGCCAGTGAACTTGGGGGTTTGGGAGCTTTTGGAGACCCTGGTGAAAATCTCCTTAGCACAGTGGTGGGGAACACAGCAGACTGCGAGGTTAGGAGGTTTGAATGGAAAGTATAGACCAAGTCTACGCCCTTCTTTCTAGAATAAATACCTTATGGCAAGGAAAGGTGGTGGGGCAACAATAGGGCTGGAGGTCTGGCATGAGGGGAGGAGCAGGAAGACTCAGTGACGGGGCAGGTGGAAAGGAAGGAAGGAAGCCAGAGGGACTGGAACTGGAAAGGAGGTGCCAGCTGTGACTTGGCATGACACATGAGGAAGGAATGGGTGCTGGGGCAGCAGCAGAGAGAAGCGGGCCTAGACCAGGAGCACTGGAGGGAGGCCATCTGCTAGGAATGAGGTCACCGTGCTGGAGGTTTGGAATGGCCACAATGGGAAGTGGAGGAGGATGTTAACACAGACATGGAGAACTGCTGAGCAGTGCTGAGTATGATGATGTAGCTGGGGCTAGAGATGTGGCTGGAGTGATCCAAAGCCAATCAGCTTAAAAAGCCCAATCCACCTCCTGCCATGAACCACCCTACCAGGGGAGGCCTGACCTCTCCTTATAGTTATGAGGTTCCTACTCAGTCTGGTTCCAGCACACAGTAGGCGCTCAATAAATTCTCCTTGCCTCCTTTCTCACAAGTACTAGAGCTACCCTTGACAATGATCATTCTGACTGTCTCCATGTTATTTCTAGAGACCCACCAGCACTACGGCATGCTGCAGTATTTCCAAGGACTAGGGGTTCAATTAAAGCCCCGTCAATGAGGGCAGAGAAGGGTTCCTGGCCAGGAAGCCAGCCCAACCAGCCCAGGGCCCCACAAGGCATCCTGGTACCTGGCTCTGCCCCACAAGAGAACTTGATGAGAAAGCAGTGCTCAATACAGTGGTTCTAAATTGGTAACCGACATACATTCTTCCATGGGTGGGAGAGCACATCTTGAAAGCTGACACTGCAGCTCTCTGAGTAAATCCAAATTTCCACTAGACTCCTGGAATTTTCTCATCTCAAAGTGGGAATAAATTCTGGGGCCACAGCTGGTAAATTCTCCTGTGTCTGAATAAATTATACCCTACGTGACTGATAATTCTCTCCAGTTGTTCCCGCCCAAGCCTCATTCCTTTTTCCCATCAATTCTTGTCCTCATAAGAACATGGCTCTCAGGGCCCTCCTCCCAACCATCTCTACAGAGAAACACTGGTTGGGAGAAAGCAGCTTTTAATTCTGAAGTCTGGGGACCATGGCTGCTTCTTGCTCACTGTACAGCATGGGATGCAAAGCATTTTCCTGAGCACTTACTATGTGCTAGGCACAGTGCTAAGCACATTACAAATTTGACCTCATTTAATCTTCTCAGCAATTCTAGGAGACAGAAATTAATCACACTTTACAGGAGATAAAATTGAGGCTTGAAGAGTGTAAGGGATTTTCCCCAAGTCACGTAGAAATGGAAGAGACATATTTTGGACCCAAATCTGTTCAAACTCTTGAGTTTTCCCCATAGTGTTAACCTCCCTTTCATGGGTCACTATTGCTGTACAATCATCCCTGAGTATATGCTGGAGAACCCCTGAGTATACCAAAATCCATGCATACTTAAGTCCTACAGTTGGCCCTGTGGAATTCAAGTATACAAAAAGTCGGCTTTCTATATAGGTGGGTTTTACCTCCTGCAGGTGTTTGGTTGAAAAAAACTGAGGTATAAGTGGACCCTTGCAGTTCACACCAGTGTTGGTCAAGGGTCAGCTGCATAGAAAACAGCGAAAGACCTCCGCGCTGCAAAGCTGCAGGAAAGGGAGTCTGCCTTTCCCAAAACCTGTCTGCACATACCTAGTCCTGAGAGCTCCAGGCTTGAGGAACATCAGAGCAGAAGAGCCTCAGCACTCATCTCTCCCTATATGAGCATTCAGGGATGCCCAGGACCTGAAGTCCACGTTCTCTATTTTCCTTCCTATTCTGGCTGAAGTCCCACCATGATGTTCTCTCTCTCTTTTTAAAACTCGGATTTTTAAAACTTTGGTATGGGATCCATCAGGAAACAAGGATCCAATTGTTTCTTTCCTCTGCTCTAAAACCTGCCATGGCTCCCCAGCAACACCAGCACAATGTCCAAACTCCTTTGTATGGAGGGTCTTGACTATCTGGCCCATTAATGGTTTTGTGTGGCCCCTTCCTCCATATTCCTTTAGCAAGTGTAACTAACCCTATTAAAGCACATTACCACTGACAAAATCTCAATGAGCTCCATCAGGGTACAGACTATGCTATTTACCTCTGCCTCTGTTTCTCTGTTTCACTCAGTCATCCAACAGATGTTTATCAAGCATGCGCTATGAGTCAAGCATTCTTTCATGTCCTGGAGATAGTCTGGTGATTAAGGCATACTGCAGTCCCTGACCTCATGGTGCTTACAGTCCACTGGGGGATAACCCAGGGCCCAGAACAAGGCACAAAGCAGGCCTTTTACTAGATGTCTGTTAGTCTGATATATGGTGTCCCCAGGTACTAAGATGGAACAAGCTGGGGACTCCTACACATGCAGAGATATGTCTCACCCAGGGTCAGTCCCCTCCCTTCATGGGATATCACTATAGACTCCACTCACTGATATGGTCGATGGAGCCAGCACAGAACTTCCCGTAGAACTTCTTGGCTCCCAGGCCCCGAAGGTCGTGGATGGTGAAAGGCCAGAGGTGTAGCACATTGTTCCGGGAGAAGGTGTCCCTCTTCTCCACCACGACCACTTTGGCTCCCAGGTAGGCAAGTTCAATGGCAGTGCGCAAACCACAGGGTCCTCCCCCAACAATGAGACACTGCAGAGGTGAGAGAGGAGAGAGTCTTGGTAACCTCTAGCATCACAGACACGAACCCCCAGTCAGCAGGGAAACTGAGGCACAAACCCCACTCTTCCTGAACCAACCAGCAAGTGCAAGCTGTGTACCTGTTAGGGCCTGTCATTTATCCACCCAATGTACCTTACCTGTGGGCCTACCATGCACCAGCCACTGCGCCAAGCCCTGTGAGGAGTGCAGAGGTAAAGGGACTTGGCGAGGAGGCACAGTAAGATGCACATGAAGTTCAGAGTCAAAGTGAACTGGGGTTAAGTCCCAGCTCCAGTATTTGACCACTTAGTTTCCTTATCTGTGTGGGTCTACTACTCTGCTCATAAGGTTATTGTAAATAAGATCACTTTTAAAAAGCATATGGTACATCTTTGTGGTCTCGAATTAAGTAATAGTGTCTTAGATATAACAGGAAAAGCACAAACAACTAAAGAAAAAATAAATGGGACTTCAAAATTAAAACTTGGTTCTTCCAAGACCACCATCAAGAAAGTGAAAAGACAACTACAGAGAAGGGAGAAAATAGTTGCAAATCATATATCTGATATGGGACCTGTATCCACAATATATAAAGGATGTACAACTCAATAATAAAAATACAAATAGCCCCACTAAAGACTGGGCAAAGACCTTTCTTCAGAGAAGATATACAAATGGTCACTAAGTACATGAAAAGATGCTCAACCCCATTTGCCTTCAGGCAAATGCAAATTAAAGCCACGGTGAGAAATCACTTCACACCTACTAGGATGACTATGATAGAAAAGAGAACAGCAAGTGTGGTGAGGATATGGAAAAACTGAAACCCTCATACATGGCTAGTGGGAAAATAAATTGGTGCAGATACATGAAAACAGTGTGGCCATTCCTCCAAAAGTTAAACAAAGAGGTTTAAACCATAGGAGCCAGCAATTCCACTCCTAGATATATATACCCAAGAGAAAAGAAAACATGTTCACACAAAAACCTGTACGTGACTGTTCATGGCAGCATAATTCATAATAGCCCCAAAGTAAAAGCAACCTAAATGGCCACCACTGATGAAGAAACCAAATGTTGTATATCCATACAATGGAATATTATTCAGCCATGAAAAGGAAAGAAATTCGAATATACAAATGAACCTTAAAAACACTGTGCTAAGTGAAAGAAACTAGATACAAAAGGACACATATTGTATTTTGTTTATATGAAATGTCCAGAATAGGCAAATCTATGAGACAAAAGTGGATTAGTGATTGCCAGTAAATGGGGGAGGGAGAATTGGGGAATGACCGCTAATGGACACAGGGTATATTTTTGGGAGGTTCTGGAATTAGATAGTGGTGATGGTTGCATAACTTTGTAAATATACTAAAACCACCGAATTGTGTACAATAAGAGGGTAAATGTGAATTATGTCATAATAAAAAACAGTGCATGAGAAAAAAACATGGTACAGAGCTTGGCATGTACTAGTGTAAATGGTGTCATTCTTATTGCTGAAATCTAGGCCCTGTCTTCTGGGAATTCTCAGGCTAGGGATAAAATACATAACTTATGAAATAAATAACTAGAACCTCACGTGGCTGTTTTTTTCTGGAGCCCAGAGGGAAAAGCTAATCCTGCCTGGTAGGTTGGAAAGGATTTTCACAGAGGAGAGTCTTTAAAAATATTACTTTAGCCTACATTTGTTGAGCACTTACTATGGATCAAATGGTTTCAAGTGCTTTCTGTGTTTTAGCTCTTAATCCTCACAACAAATCTAAGCAACTATTATGGTGCCCCTTTCACAGATGGGGAAATTGAGGCACAAAGCAGCTGCTTAATTGGCTTATGCTTTTACAGATTGAAAGGGGGAGAGCTGGGATTCAAACCCAGGTAGTCTGATTCCAAAGCCCACCATGTTGGACTGCTTCTGGTTTGCCAGGAATAAAAAAGAAAAAAGAACATTTCAACAGAGGTAACTGCCCTTTTCAAAGAGAAAGAGAAAGAAGCTCAAGGTGGATGGAGAGAAGGATACTTTGGGAGAAGAGACGGGAAGGAGAGAAAAGAGAGTTGGTCTGGAGCCAAATGGTGAAAGTTTTTTTTTGTTTTTTTGTTTTTGTTTGTTTGTTTTTTTTTAAGACACAGTTTCACTCTTGTTGCCCAGGCTGGAGTGCAATGATATAATTTTGGCTCACCGCAACCTCTGCCTCCTGGGTTCAAGTGCTTCTCCTGCCTTGGCCTCTGAGTAGCTGGGATTACAGGCAAGCACCACCATGCCTGGCTAATTTTTTTGCATTTTTAGTAGAGATGGGGTTTCTCCACGTTGGTCAGGCTGGTCTTGAACTCCCAACCTCAGCTGATCCACCCACCTTGGCCTCCCAAAGTGCTGGGATTACAGGCGTGAGCCACCGCGCCCAGCTGGTGAAAGTCTTAAGTGCCAAAGGCATATTTTACGACCTTGGTCCTGTTGGCATTTGGGCCATGTGGGCAGAGGTGACAAAACAGGATTCTGCACGGTCCTCAATGGACACTGCATGCTACTCGGTCCTCAATGGACACTGCATGCTAAAAAGACAAGGATCCTTCCCCAGGGAAGACACACGATGACCTAGGAGAGCTATATTGGGCAAAAGCCTTTTCTTTCATAGAAAATCTTATGAGGAGCACCAATACTGTCTAAAACCAGAGGAAAATGGCAATACTCTGGCTGAAAGCATCAGAAGAAACTCTTTCCTAAGGCAGGAGTTTGCCTGGGGGATCTGACTACCCGCAGCAAGGCAACAGGCAAGGGCATCTGCACCCACTCCTCAGTTCTTGACATTGCAGAGGCATCTGGTAACTGTCCTTCTGCTTGAGATCAAACCTTATCTTAAAAAAACACATTCCCCTTCCTCTAGCAAATGTTCCATCATCCAGTTATCACTCAGCTGGGCCTGCAGGGTCCCAGAGGGAGAGTGCAAACAAGCATATCAGGAGCTCCCACACCACAATCAGTGTGGCTTACTGGTTGGAACCTTCCAGAGAGTTTGTAGACACCTAATTAGGGGAAATGAAGTCACCACTGAGATCCAGCTCAAGACTTCAGGGAGTGAGTGGGTGTGCAAGCCCATGTGCTTCCTCTCTGGATAGAGCCACCGGGAAAGGACCAAGCCCCACTTCCCAAGCCTGGCACTAGTCTCTACCTCACTCTCCACAAACAGCTCCTTGGCTTGGACATAGCCAGACAATGAGAGTCATTTCAAAGCACGACTCCAAGCCCCGACACTGGTGAGGTTTGCTTTGGGGTTAAGTCTGGATTCACTGCATTTCTTTGCAGTTAGCACATCTTTTCCTGTTTGCTGAGTTCTGTCCCTCTGGGGCCACGGATGGAGCAGGGGTAGAAGGATGTGGGGTGAAGAGGGGCAGGAAAGAAGGGAGGGAGGCCCCTGCATCCTTCTGTCCACCAGGCCCGACACAGCACTGCTCCCTGGACAAGGCAGGAGATCCCTTTCCCACCGGTCAGGGGGCTGCTGTGCATTTTGCGGGCAAACAGTAGCTGGTGTACAGTTTCTGATTCTCTTGGCTAAACCTAAAATCCCATTGGCAAAAGCTCAGTTTTCCCACCATCCTGGGCCCCAGTACATATTTCGGGCCTGAAATTTCAGAGATGCCAGTCATACCGTAATTTAAAGTCAAAGCAAATACCAACGGGCCTAATTATATAAAGGGAGAAAATTTGGTACAGATGTTATCGAGGCCAGAGAGACGGCTTGTTGGCAGAGGCCAGGCCAGGTTTTCTCTGGACGTACTTGTTGTGATTAATATGGGAACTCGGTGTTCTGACAAGAGGCCAAATACCATGGCAGCCACATGCCCGGGCAGAGGAGTGGGAGAGAGGAGGACTTCCCCAGCATGCCCACTGTAGATACTCTGGACACTGGATGTGGTCCAAACAGACCACAGATGCAAAGGGTTGTGGTAACTCGATCTGAAGGAGCTCTTTCCTCAGACCCAGCCAGGCCTTATGTCCAAGGAAGGAAAGCTTTTCATTAAAACTCAATGAGATTGTATGTTCCTTCCCTGGGCTCCCGTGAGCTCTATCCTTTCTGCTTCCCCAGAACAAGCTCTGCGAGTCATATTGTCTGTGTCTGACCTACAGCCAGTACAAGGGTTCCTCTAAGGCTGCCCCTGTCCTCTGCATTTCTGTGTGTTCAGAGCCCAGTACCAGGCCTGCTACCTAGGAGGCCTCAATTGATAGCTGATGGATGAACTCTCCACACCCTCTCCACCTACCCAGTTCTGGCTCTGCATCCACAACTGGGATGTTCAGTTCACACCAGTTGGGGATTCACGTTTACAGATTCCCACCCAAACTACGGGAGCCAGGGTCTGCCAGAGCCACCAGTATCATGGATGTCAGCATATCTGTGTGATCAGGTGACATAAATTATTACCCAGTGGGGAGCAGGGCAGAGCCAACACCAGCAGGAAATCCATTGTATAGATAAGCTCGGCGGTGTTCAGGCCTCCACGTTAGCACAGAGAGACAAACACTACATGGAAAAATCAGCTCTTTATCAAGGGTCAGGATGGGGGGTTGGTGACCAACTAACCCACAGTCAGGACACAAGGACTGGGCAGCCCCAGCTCACGTGTGACTCCTGCTCCTCCCCAGGGGGCCCTGCAAACACAACCCACTTCTTGACATGGTGCATCTTCTAGCCGCCCCTCTCCCAGCCCACAAGTGGACAAGTGTGCTGGGGCTACGTCAGGAATGCATAAGAGATTCGGCCCCCAGAGGGAGATGCTGAGGGGACCAAGACCTAAGCCAGGGGTTAGCAGTCTGCAGGCTTCATTTCCACTTCTGAATCCCATCCTCATGTTCCTTGAGAGCTGTATGTACAGACACTGCAGCGAGGGGGAGTGCAGAAGCCAGCACCTGACCAGGGTGTGGTGTTCCCTAGCCCGCTTACCCACCCTGCACCTCACCTAGAAAGGACGGTTGTGAGACCTCACTGCATGGT